ACCAATATCTGCTTGATTACACCAACTATTTTAATTTAATTCCTATTTGCAGTTTCTTCTTTGCATGTATTACAAGCCTTCACTAAGCACTATGCTTGGTTGAACTCTCCATTTGCTAGTTGTGAAAGGAGTAGTGCCAAGGGTGTGAATTAGCAATACTAAAATATCAAATATGTAATACATTAACCGATGCAAACATCTTCTATAATTTGGGAGTGAAAATTTAGTTTTCAAATGTTGCTAACCTTGTTTTGTTGGAAGTTTTATTCATCATTCAGTTATTTATGGCTAAAAGGTGGGTAAGATATTTAGGAGCTAAAGAAATGTGTGCAGGTGATACTTTTACCTCCCACTTTGAAAAAAATAAATCATCTAAAAATCTGTTTTGATATATAATCATTTCTTGACCTTGAAACTGCTCTTCAGTTTTATTGACAGACTATTGCATACGTCTTTGACTTATCATGGCCTCTCCTAATGTAATGGAAAAATTCACCATACAAATTTGCAGAATCTTTGGCAATGAGAATACATGATACATTTTTTGAATCTAATCTTAAGCATTATATCTTCTTCCCTGTAGTACATCAAGCCTCAAAAATTGAAATGTTGCTACTAATCATCATATCTTTAAAGTGCTATATTCGAGACATGATAATTTGCTGTCCTGGACAAGTAGGAATTCCATATCTATTGGTATTTTTGTCCATCACAGCCACAAGATTAAAACACTTGGTTTATGAAGTTTTCACACAGCCTCTTTTCTGTTTAGTGTAGTTCCTGCATTAGCCAGCTCTGACACCTGAATAAATGTCATTTTCATAAGATATTTATTGACTAGAGAGAGAGAAAAGGACTCATTGAAATGTTTCCACACACATTGTTGGAATAACAATGGGTTAACAGCAAGAATAGTATAATTATTTGTAAGCAGGTTTTTTAACTAAACTATTTTACCAAAGGAAATATTTACATAATTTCTAAATTCTTAAGTCCACATAATCAAGAACCCAGGCATAAAAAAAATATCTTTCAGTTTCAGCTTATTTGCAAGTATTTCATGGAATACATCAACTCTCTCAGCTATTCAATGTCTAACTGATTTCCAAGAGTTTGTAAATGTATAAAATTTACAATATTGTCCTCACAAACAGAACTATCAAGAAAAACTGAAGCACCAAATTGCAATTACAATTCATTCTTTGAATTACAATGATAAGAATACAACATAGTTTGTCTCCATTAACAATCTCATATTTAGCTGTTTTAACGAATTTCACCTTGTTTTCTTTCAATAGAACTGTGAAGATGCTTTATAATTAAAACTTAATTTCACCAAAGAAACTAAAAGATTACAGACAAAATATACTAGCAGAATATTTAGATTTAGAAGTTTTTATGTTTCCCTCACTATTGGCAGGTGTAGAGTTTCAAGAAATCTCCCCAACTACAATGATAATATAGGTAAATATGAATAAAAATAATTTTGTCATATACACTTGAAAACAATTAACTTTTTATTTCAACTGAATAATTTGTAACCTCTTTCAATCTGAAAATAAGAGATTACAGAAACAAGGAAATGGTTAAGTTCACCATCATGTAATATTTAAACAAATTGTAGATATGTTATAAAATGACCTTGTTAAATTACTTTTATAACTGTAATTTGATTTTAGTAGAATTTCAAACTCAAATTGATCTACTCATAAAGAATGTGCTGGCAGCTTCTGATGTGTTATTTTGGTCTAAAAAAAAAACATAATAAAGAGAGAGCAGAAGAGAGAGTAGAAAAAAAGAAAAAGGGAAAAACAAACAACAAAAAATACGCATACACACACACCAGTAAAAACGTAATTTTCCCTCAATTACACTTACTTTCCACTCCTCAGTCTTTGAAGATTTGAAGTAAAATTCCCAGCACATTAAAGGAACAAAGACTTAAATACAAGCATACATTTGAAAGCACAATTCATTTATTATAAGGATGAAGTATACAATCACAAATTCTTATTTTAAATGTATTCAGGGGCCACCATGATGTAAGTTTTTACGATAACCTAGAAGAAATGCTAATATCTGCAGTAACAACATAACTCATTAAAGAAAAAACATTCAGTAATTTAAAAATCAAAAGAAAGTAACAAACATTTCAGATTTAATACTTCAGAAATTATGATTTCAATTCATAAGATGGGCAAAACATTGAGAAATCATGATTTTGACAAGAGAAACAAAATTATTTCTTTACTCTATTTTGGGGCTAATCTATACTTAGCATTATTAAATTATTTAGCAATTACAGAAACATTTATTGCTGTATGAATAACTTTTTAAGGAAATTCTTTAACATACTTACACTTTTAACACGATTATCTATGTCCAGAAATAGTATTGCAATTTAATGAAGTTTACTGCTAAATTGATGGATAACTACTACAATAAACACATTGGAACTACTTCATTATTTTGACAATGCAAGAGAATGCACGGATGTTACGCTCACGCAAATTATATAAAAGTAATTTACTAATTTTTGACAAGTGAACGAAATTATAACCTATAAAAGTATGTAGGCTGAGAATTACTACTATAATTCAACAGAAGTTATTTGTAATTGATTGTAAATAATTCATGATAAATCAATATTTGCAAATAATTAACAGGAAGCAAAAGTTTTCACCTAAAATACAGTAACTATATTTCCTGATATGTTAATTGACTTCATTTCGGAGTTGTCAAACGGTATAAAGAGGTCTATGAGAGGAAAGGGGTCTTTTCAGATTACTCGAGGGGGATAGACCAATTTTATTATGAGATTGCACAGAGGTGTTAAAAAAATCAATATGTTTGAGTATGTATTTTCTGAATGGTCCTCAGGTTTGGGACAAAATTTACAAACATTTGAACTGAATATAAAGCATGCTCCTCCTTTGTATTTTATCCAAAAACATGAAATTTTCACAGAATGTTCTCAAACAAAATTAAAGACATTTAAAATTAATTAATGTAATATCTACAAAAATCATAAATGATTAATACAACATAAAAAACTGCTTTTAGTACAAAATATTTTAAATCTCACAAGTACATTCATTCCTTATATTAAGAGGCAACAATTACAATGCATTTAAGCAAGGACAAATGCACAAATGTTTGCTGTAAACCTTCAATATAACTATTTGGAATATCAGTTATTGTTTGTTTATCGGAGTACATCTAAACATTCTGAATTAAGGAACTAGCAAATACAGCACAAACATTTAAATGTCACAAATGATAAGTAAAAATAAATACATGTTAAATACAATAAAATTCAAAAGCAAAAATCATTATTTAATTTAGCAAGTCTGTCATAAATTACTACAAGTTAAAATATCTCAAATTACAAATTACAGAACACATTCAGCACAGCTTTGTCAAGGAGAAATCTTTATTAAGTACTTCAGAAAAATTTGAAGATTCCCCTCCATGTTAAATGCTTTTAATACATGGCTGTAAATAACATACAAATTCCCACATTAATCAATGACTATTCAGACAGTGGCAACCGAGACAGAATTTTTTGGAATTATACACCCATCCTCTACACACACATCACTCATTTACTTCACTAACAGGTGCTCTATTATCAGACCATGGTCTTTGGAATGTTATGAATATATAATTTTTAATTACATGTATCTAAAAGAATACTTGTAACTATAATACTTTCTATATCTTCATTTAATATTTTTTATTCTTTTCCAAAATAAAAAAAAGTTAATTAACATATGACTACTTTGACTAAAAAGTATCTACAGTTGTCACCTTGTTGATGTTTACAACTGTTCCCTTACTTCTATAGTACCATCATTGGCTTCAAGTTAGAAAACTGCTACAAATTTCAACAACACTTAATACATGCAAAATATGTGTTCAAAAACAAAATGCGATTTTTGAAGATAAATACACCAACAATTCACTACATTAGCACAAGAAATCTAGGCTTCATATTCATTCATACAATAGTTATACAATACTGTGATTCCAAATATACAACTAACCATACCATCTTATCAGTTATCATATGGATCCCTAATATTTACTATTTTTCCCCAGTATTCTTTTAATTTTTGAGCGAAATGATAAAACAATTATTTGCTTGGTATGGTATGTTGCACTAAACAACTAGTATGGAAAATACTTTGAAGAACATAAATTCTTTAATTCAGAGTCCATAAGTTCAATACATTTGTTAATTAAAGTTTATGATTATTGAAAGGACAAACACTATGAAATTACTATATTAACAAAAATATATTTGGAAATTAGTCGGAAGTTGCTGTGGTAAATGATAATCTATTCACAAGTTGATTCAAATTTGTGCATGTAATGTTGATGAAAATTAATTCTTTAAACATTTCAAAATACCATGTTGTTAATAGAAATATATTTTGCAGTAAAAATCAATTAAAATAATTCAAGAAAATAATTATACTTAAATCACATAACTACCTTGCATCAAAACTTGAATTAATTGATAATGTGATAAATTTGAGAATCTTCCAGAATGAACTTGTACATGTATGTGTCAAACCTTGTAGTATCAACTTGTAGATTAACCTTAAGATATTAACAAAAAAAGAACCAGAGAAGAGACAAGTAACGTAATAGGTTAATTTCTGAAGACTTACTTTCAATAATCTCGTTCCTCTTCCTATTCAAAACGAACACAACACACATCCACATCCACTAAGAAATGAAATACTACAATACACGTTTGCATTATTGTTTGCAAACATCATAACCTAGTACTGTTTTGTATTATTTACAACACAAGAACATTTTTTAATTCTGAGAAATAATCTATTGGATACAAAACTTCATAAGGAATAAAAAAATCAGTCTTTACAAAATAGTTTTCCATTCAGCTTTTTCTATCACAAAATGCTTGCAAAAATTTACTGCAAAAACCCACTTTCGTAACAACTTTTTGAATACTCTCACTCCTATCATATCTATATATAATTTGATGGTGGCCTTTTCAGGCTAAAAAGCTGCCGGTTGAGCAAGTCTCTTTCTTTTTTCAGCCTTGAAATTTCAGCTCTCTGATTTTCAATTGTGGTAACAAGCTTTCGCAAAACTAAGTGCAAATTTTTAGAAATTTTGATTGTAGTAGTCTGAGAAGCACCATCAATTAGACTTTCACTTCTATCACACTCACTTCCAGTCGCCGAATATTCTTCTGTCAAGGGTAAGGTCGCACATTCCGAATTCTGATCTTCGTCAATGAACATTCCTACATCGTCCGAATTGTGATTCTTATAGGGTAATACGGTTGTTACAGGTGTATCCTTTTTAACGGAAGTTACAGTTTCTGATATTTCCTTCTCAATAGGCAAGTTTCCATTAGCGAGCAATTTGGCACTTTCCCGTGTTGTTTTTCGTAGTTTGCTAGTTACAGAGTCATTACTTTCAGATGGTTTATGAGCATCAGATATCACAGTTACTTGCTTCGACGAACTGTTTACTTTCCTAGGTCGACCTCTTCCTCTTTTAAATTCTTCTAACACAGGAGTTGTTTGATTTGTTTTTGGTGGTTTTTTAGTTTTGTTAAAACGACTTTGACTCGACTCTTTTCTTGGCGTTGCTTGTTTCTGTCGTCTGGCCATCTTTTGCCCAACCAAATCTTCAAAAACAGAAGGCACAGCACTAGGAAGAAGTATTTTCTTTGTAGTACTAATACTATAATCGTTTTCCTGAAAGTGTTTGCTGCAAATTGTTGACTTGCCTTTCGGAAACCAATGACAATTCCGTGGATTCCCGTGCTGGGATACGGCTATAATCCACTTTCGTTTGCTTTCAATGCTTGACGGGAATTTATGAAACGATATTCCTTTACACTGAGTAGTCTTGCAACAAGGAACGCAGCAATAACCCATACCATGCACACAAAACCAGTGGAAAACAAAAATTACACGCTATTGTTTGAAATCAACAACACCAAACTAAATTTCAAGATACCAACTATCCACAAACAAACGGAAACTCTACGGAGTACAGCAACGTTATCTACCAGTGTTTAACTCTAAAGAGAATTGACTGTTTGAATTGGCTTCATTGATTCGTCACAAGAGTCGCTACATATCTTCAATCATAAGCTGCTACCTTGCGACGAAAAGAGAAACTGCTTGAACTTCTGCTTCAACCTCCATGTAATGCATGGGGAAAATGCCAGGCCGTCGACCGGCTTGTCTAATTATAAAACCAGTGATTACATTACTGTAACTGTACTAGTCTCGTAAAATATACGAAGAAATCACTGAAAAAGAAAGGCGAATATTAATGATACAAATACTTCCACGCAAGTTTTTCGAGGAGACACAATTTTAGATTTTTTAAGATACGCTTCGAAAAGTTTGTCGAAGATATTTCATTGGTATATTGTTTGAGAATCAATTTAAAACTTTTGTTTTAGGAAGTTTTGATAGAGATCATTGCGATAAAAATAAAATTGAAATGTGGTTTTTTTCCCTACTTCCTGAATCATGGGGCAAGTGTCATGGTATGTAGAAATAATTTGTACAATATGTTTCGGAACCCAAGAACTTTGTCCGTTTGTAATTTTTTTCGGCGATATTCCTAAAAATTTAAAGATAGAGATTTTTCCTTCAAATAAAATGTGTAATGTGTATATATTAATGACGTGAGAGAAGCGAATAAAATAATTTTTTGGAAAAACAAAAGAATAGAAAAACAATAGAATATGTCATGTTGTAGAGTACAGTTAGCACAATTCCTAACAAAAGATTTAAAACAATTGGAGCCATTTTTGAGATAATCTTGGTTTTGTAATTCTTATGCACAACTAATTTTGAAGGAAAGATATCCAAAAGAAAATATGATAATTCACCAAAATTACTTGTTTAAGGAAGATTTAGGCAAAATCTATTAAAATAGGCATCAACCGTCGTTTTATTACATTTTAGGCACTATCAAATGCTTTCAGTACATCTACTTGCTTTCCCATATACATACGTATCGTATACGGAGTAATACACGAAGTATATGGAAAGTTATGTAATGCTGCAGAAAATCGATTTGGAGATTTCAACGGAAATATACGTGTGGAGGTCCCTTGATACCGAAAAAGTGTTGTTTCAAAACGTCCGTCCGTACGTAATAGCGATATTGTTCCATTCTTTTGTTTTTTCAAAAATTAAAAATACGTAATTTCTTGATTTGTCTCATACCGTTAGTATTTATCCTAGCGGCAATTTGTTCACATGATTATAATGATGAGTATATGTGCTTTAAATAGTGCCCTATAAAACTTCTAGAAAACTCAACCGTTTCCTGTGAAAAGTAGCTCAAATTTCGCAGTTTCAAAAACGCTCAAACGCAATTTTCCCACTGCTCCAAATTTTTTCTAATTTTATTTAATATATTAATGGTTTTTGGTTTTTCACAGTAGTGAGTCTTCACATATTATTTTATATCGAGTGGTAGTGTTTCATTACAACTGAATCAATTAATTTAAAGTCAGTAACTTATTATTTATGTTCCTTAAAAAATATTCTTTTATACTCATTATAGTTTGAAGATGGAGAAAAATATTCATGTCCTCGAACCGTCGTCCAACAAACTGTGGTTAATGAAAAATAAAAACTTTGAAGTTTAAAATTATGTGATTCTGTATTTTTATTTCTATACAAATTAATAACTAGTGTCTGTCAAAAAACAACAATAACCTCTGTGGCCAAACTCATCTCATATGAATGAATAGTAGCAGTGACAGTATACACCCTGTGTTGGCTACTACTCCAAACTTTGACTAGTTCTACCAGGGAGATTGCTCCCTGGGATGGGCACATAGGCGATGGCCTTTGTCCGTATACGCATCCGCTGCCTAGAACACATTCAGTACCCGGACCCCGCCGGAATCTAAAGTACTACCTCTAAAGTTACTATACTAAAGTACAACTATCTCTAAAGTACTCATAAAAGTCGTCCGGAAGCAAACTGAACAGTATCTTCGAAAAAATCACTTTTAAACGATCACCAATCAGGTTTCCGTTCCGGCAGGAATACAGGAACCGCGCTACTAAACGTCATTGAAGACGCGAGAAGCAGTCAATAGATTACGAGTACCTATAATATGCTTGGTTCTTCTGGATTTCAGGTAAAGCATTCGAGTTCGCAGTAGATAGCGACTCCTTTCGCAAAAACATAAGACCTGGGATTTGCACAGACAACGCGTACCATGCGTTTCGTTAATTACTTAACTTCCAGAAACCCAAAGAGTGGTGTCGCGGTCAGCCGGCAGCTCAGGGCACTTGAAGCTTACCGCGGAGTTGCTGCAAGGACACTGTGTTAGGGCCAGCTGGCCTTCTTAATCTATGTAAATGACGTGGGAAATGCACTTAAATATTGCAGTCATCAAATGTATGCGGGATGAATCCTCTGCAGATAATATCTAAAGTGGTCACCCGTCTCCGCACTTATCATCTGTACAAAAAATTAATGAAGATTTGAGATAAACGCGTAAACGACCTGGGGCTACGCATCTTTAGACCTAACAATTAAAGCCCAAACAAAATTCACAGTGGCATGGTTATCAGCTCAAAATGCACTTATGAATTAAAATTTCTTCTTCTGCCTTTGGCCCTAATATTTATATTAAATGTCACCATTTTATCTTGGTGGTTCTGAAGTAAGACAGCCTAAGATGTGTTATCGACAACACTCTCAGCCTGGAACTCGCAGTAGATTCAAACGCTGCCGTAAGTTTTTTTTGCCGTCCCAGTGCATTCACTGGAAGACAGCAGCGAGCACTTTTTGCAAGGGTAGCAACACGTGAGACTCTCATGCAAATCAGCTTATCATGCCACCATTTCGACTAATTTTGCGACTTTCTTCTGACGCAACATGACCATTCAAGATTTACAACGTAAACTTCAAGTAGCCCAGAAACGGCTGCCAGTACGTTTTTATTTTGGATCTAAGAAAATGCGACCCATGTATCGGAGAATTTTTTGGAAAACGGAATTCGTATTGCTTACTCCTAAACAAAAGACCGGTTACTCCATCTCTCTACTTCTTTCTTTATAAAAGTTTTTAAGGCGGTTCTGTCATGCAACACGCGCTGCATAAGTAACTTCAATCCTCTGAGAACTAAATCGAGCTGCGTGAATCAGCTCTGCTTTTGGTGTAGCACAGGTCACACAACACGACTTCATTCAAGTAACTTCATTCACGATTAACAGCTATCCGAGCCTGGATAAATTACCCAGCGAGACTAAAACATTCAAAATACTTTTGGTAAATTCAAAACTGATTAATCACATGGGTAAGGAATAACGACATAATGGCGTGTAACGTCTTCAAATCTCCAGGACTCTCGGCCGTTGCCAAAGGGCGCCCGGGTCACGCCCTCGGTTAAACACCGCTCTATTTCCCCCTCTCTGAATTTTAAAATATTTTATCCGCATACCTGTCATTGCTTGCTATCCTCATGCTTGCCATTGCCCTCTCAACAACTAAATTGATTAGCATTAACTATTTTTCTGGCGTACCCTAATAAAATTGTTAATAAAATAGCAAAATATTAGTGACGATCCGAGATAAAATATAACTTCGTAGCTATCTTTGTAGCGAATCTAGGATATTCAGCTACAATATATTGGCATAAACAAAATAGATGTTAAGATACCCGCATTTTTTGTATTGTTCCGCTTATTACTGCCAGTATTGTTGTTTAAAATTACTGTTGTTATTTGCTTTCAGTGTATGTTGCTTCTCTGGTGTTAAAAATATTTTATATTTATGTAAAGTGCTACTGTAACCAAACGTAGGCTTTCTGTAATGTTCCTCAAATAACTTCACTTTTTTCGCATACTTCTTCTTCGTCCTTTTATTCGCTTCTTTTTCTCTTCCTCTTCCTCAACAAATTTTCCCCATTTTTTACTTTACGACTGCCTTCCCCTAGTACGTCTTTTCTGCTTCTTTTCACGAACTTCCCTTTCACTACTATGTACAACTTACTCAGTACTATTAATGTTCGTCGCCCTAAGCCGCCATCCTGATTGAAGTTTTTTCTGGATTTACTCAATCGCTTAAGGCGTACGCCGGGATGGTTCCTTGTCTTGCCCTACAGACGTAAATGTGCAGGTTGTCCCCCCTCTCGGTGTCTCTTTCTTTCTCCTCCTGTTTTTCCTCTTCATTTTTCATTTAGCGTTTCCTTTCTACTTATTTTTTCTTTTCTTGCACTTTTCTCCGTAAATTGATGGATGTTCGGCCCTAAGCCGCCATCCTGATTGAGGTTTTCTGGGTTTACTCAATCGCATAAGGCGTAAGCCGGGATGGTCCCTAGATTTGTTCTCCCAGACGTAAATGTACAGCTTGTCCTCCCCTTTTAAAATGTTACTATTCTACAATGTTGTATTGTATGTGTATTGTATATGTATGTAAATTCAGTGGTTAGGCGGAAGAGCAGGCCCTATGGCTTGAGCCTCGCCATTAATAAAGGCATTATTATTATTATTATTATTATTATTATTATTATTATTATTATACGTACGTACAGGTACGATGTTCATACAGTCGAATTTTTGAATGTAAGTATTCATGCCATAACTTTTATTTTTACTTACTCTATTGTTTGTTATTGCTA